TGGGGGGGGGGGGGGGGCTCACCTTCCTCTCCCCAGCCCTCAGGGATGGCAAGGGAGGCTGATGCCAGGGTTGCCGCGAGGAGAACCATCACCCTGCCCAGGCCTGGGATGGGACTGCGCATCTGGAGGAGGCAGAGTGGGGAGGGAGAGGGGGTTATCCCCTGGAATGGGGTGGTCTGCAGGGTCCACCGCCCAGAATAAAACGATATAATTTGACTTCTCCCCTCATGCTGCACGTGGTTACGGTGACAGCACGGGAACCGTACTGCCGGGGCAGCTGGCAGGTCTGTGCCACTGTCACAGCCGGTCCCTGGCTGCTGAGGAGTCCCCACGCCGGGAGTGGGGATGCAAAGGGCAAACACTGACCAGGAGCTCAAGACTGCGTGGGTTGGCAGGATTAAGGGCTCTTTGCCATTGCAGTCCTGTGCTGGGAGCCCTGGCTCGCTCCCAGTCCCAGGGTAGTCCAGAGATCTGTACCAGTGCAGCTGGAGTGGGAAGAGACTGAGGAGAAATTCCGGCCTCTATTTACGTGGCAAGAGACAGCAGTTAGATCTGAACAGGCTCACAGGGCCAGGGAGAGCAGGTGTGTGACAGCTCCGGCCATACCGAGTGGGGATGGCTGGGGGTCCCGTACCACTGCCCGTCCCTGCACCCGCTGCAGGGCTGGTACACGCAGGTCTGTACCTTCTGGGCCATTTGGGGTCTCTAGACCCAGGGAGCACAGCCCTGAAATTCCTTCCTCCCACTCAGAGATCACCAGTGGGTCTGGGGTGAGAAGCACAGGGGATGATGAGTCAGGGACGTGCACCCAGCTCTCCATGGGTCACCCACAGCCACAGATCAGGGTCTCCCCACCATAGCGCAGCCAGCATCACCCTGTCTATATCAACCAGCATCACCCTGTCCATCACAGCCAGCATCGCTGTAAGGCATCCATTCCAGCCTGTATTGTCCTGCACGCACCAGCCAGCATCACCCTGTTCATCCTAGCCAGTGTCACCCTGCCCATCCCAGCCAGCATCACCCTGTCTGTTGCCAGCCAGCATCACCTCAGGGCATCCATGCTGGCCAGCATCATGCCATCCATACCAGCAGTGTCACACTGTCTCTATCAGCCAGC